TATGTATGTAGAACATAATTTGTATGGTATAGTAATGAAAACAATAATAATGTATAAAAATGAAACTACAATTTTTTTAATTAATTGAACAATATTTTTTAAAAAAATAAATCGAATGAACTATACACACATAAATATACACAAAAACACTTTTATTTCTCTTGGTAGCCAAAAAGTTTGTATTTTAGTAGTTCAAGGAGTTTGGGAAATAGAAAAAAGTTACTTTTGTTTTGGAGGGAAAAGTATAATGGAATAAATGCAAAAATTGAAATAAGGATATTATAGTCTTTTTTGCCTTTCTGGCCAATTTTTTCTGGCCATTTAGCATTACCCTTAATTTATATCACATAAATTAAAATAGAAGATTGAAATTGTGTTAACACGGAAACATGTGCCTAGTTTATACATACATGATAGAAACTTTTATAACTGATTAGGATCTTAGGTAATTAACTAACTGACTTCTTAGCTATACTTAAACAGACTAATTAAGTCAAAAAATTTAAAATCATTTACTCTACTATTTTGTTACTTCCTCACCACGACACCGATCCTTCTCTCCGTTCACTGCTCGCCGGCGACTGCCATCTCCGTTCACCTCTGTAAGTTTTCGCTGTCCTTATTTCTCTTTCTTCTTAGCTCTCATTTTCCTACCACTGTGTTTGCGTTGGAACCGACGCCCGACGGCCTCCCCATTTGTGACGTTTTGACCATGTTAAGCTGGCTCTCGGTTTTAATTAATTTCTATGAATGCTGTTTGAGAAGAAAATCGCGCATGTTATTGTGAAAAATTTTACGTTAGCGTTTTTGTACTCTGTTCATGAGTTTGTATCTTCAGCCTTACCGGCTGTATTGTTGAGTTTAGTTGTTAATTTTATATGAGTTTTACTCGGTGCTTCTCTCGCAGTTGGAATTTGATGGTGATTGAAAAAAATTAGGGTAGGGTTTTTGTACTCTGTTGCGTTTGTCTCTTCGAGACTTGCCGCTGGCTTGTTATTATTGCGATAAACAGTGATCGGTTGTCTCACAGTTAGAAAATTTTTAGGATACGATTTTAGGATAAACAGTGATCGGTTATTGTGAATCTGTTAGGTTTTACATGAAACGTAGTTCCTTAATGTTCTTGTGATTAACTATATATCACTTTGTTAGATTTTTAGATGGAAGGTGAAGATAATGCCGAGTTAGATTCTCCTTCGCGACTTCCATTTGACAATGACTCTGTCTCCGACAAGGGCTATATTCGTTTGAGAAAAGCAGAATTAATTGGATAATGACAGGGGAAGAAAGTTTAGACAGGGGGACTTTGTTGCTTTTATTTCTAATCTACATAAAACACTTCGACAAATAGTTCAAATTAATCGGTTATTTAGTCTGTATGATTCTGAAAAACTCAACACCTTGTGAGACATTTCATCTAACCAACTAAAGCGTATAACAAAATTGTGATGAACAGTGATTGGTTGTCTCACAGTTGACAGGCATGTTTTGGATACGATTTTTGTGCCTGTTTTGTTGAGGTTATTGTGAACCTTTTAAGGTTTACATGTAACTTAGTTCCTTAATGTTCTTGTGATTAACTATATATCACATTGTTGGATTTTTAGATGGAAGATGAAGATAATGCCGATTTAGACTCTCATTCGGGCCTTGAATTTGACAATAACTCTGACTATGTCTTTGACTATTTTCGCATGACGAAAGAAGAATTTGATAATGCGGGTGGAAGAAAATTTAGACATGGTGACGTTGTTTCTTCCATGTCTAATCCTGATAAAACACTTGGACAAGTAGTTCAAATTAATCGGTTCTTTGGAATGTTTGATTCTAAAAATCTCTACTCTTTGCGAGACATTCCATCTAACCAACTAAAGCGTATAACGAAATTTGCGAAGGGAGATTTGGTAGTCCTTACCCATTGGTTGGGTAGGGTAGTTTACGTTTCGCGTGATACTACTGTTAAGTTCGAGAATGATGACTCTTTACGCACTTTTAGAGGAGGGACAGGTCTTTATCCACGTTGTCCTTCATGGAATATCTCATGTGACAGGCCTTGTCCCCTACATCCTGGACAACAGGTGATGGTTGCGGGTAAACCATGTACAGTAACAGATCTGGTTGATAGATTTGTATATGTTGAATGGATCACTAATTCTGATAGCAGTGACTCCCCTCCTCCCCCTGATAAACAAGATCCTAACAGCTTGACACAAGTGTTTTCATATCTCTCGACTTGGAAAATAGGAGATGTATGCAAGCATGTGTCATATCCTAAAACAGTTGTCCTAATCACTGACATCAGAACATTTGTTGATGTGACTTGGCAAGATGGGTCAACAGAAAAAAACATTCCATCAACTCTACTGAAGCCCATTTTTGATATAGGAGTTCACGACTTTTTAGTGGATCAATATGTTGTTTTGGATAATTCTGAACATTTGGGAGTCGTCAAATCTGTTGATCACAAGGAGAAAACCACAATGGTGAAGTGGATAAATCGCCTGAATGAGGATATCATTAGTTCTTGCCGCCTGAATCGATACCATCTTTTTAACTATCACCTGGGTAATTTGGTGTTCCACCGAATAACAAAAGAAGCTGAAAATTCTGATTTGTCCTCCTTTGGGAGTATAATTGGCTTCAAAGATGGCAACATTGAGGTTACATGGGATGATGGTACTACATCTATGGTACGTACGACACTTATATTGTCTTTGTTTTATTCCTTTTATGCATTTTCTAAAATAACAGTTTCCTTTTGGTTTTCAGGTTCAACCTCAAGAACTTCATGGTGTTGATCGAGATGATTATGGCTATAGCTCTGATGAATACTCATCCAGCGGCGATGAAGATGTTGGGGACTCATTGGTTGTAGAAATTCCTGATTCCAAAGTAAGATGTATCAACTATTTTAGAGATCCTCATATTTCATTTTCTATGCCATTTTATCATAGGTAAGTTAACATATATAAATGTTTGATGTTGTGACTTCTGGGTGATGAACAGGTTGATTTGTTGGACTTTGTGGACCTGCAGAGTGTTAAATGCCTTAATGAAAGCCACATCCACTGTATTAGCAATGCCCTAGAAAAGGTACAATTAATGAACTAAGTAAAAAAGGAGAAGATTTTGTTCATTTCTTAAATTTTGGGCTTGATTATGCTTCTGTCTTCCATTTATATTTCAAGTTGAGGAATTTTACATTCAGCAATGAATAGGATAGGATAAAATTGTTAACAAAGAAAAAGTATATTAGATGTAGATCTATTTGTATCTGTTTTGTTTTTTGTATAAAAAAGATCTATTTAGCTTGATCAATTTGTCATGCTTAAATATCACTGATCATTATTTTGGAATTTGTTTGCTCCACAATATTAGCTTTATCTTTTTAATGGAAACTTGCTTAGTCTCTTATAAATTGGAGTTGACATAATCTTTTGTTGTAGCTTCTGCTTCTACTTGATGCTATCAATGAAATCTCCTTCATCCAAAAAAAGGTCGTCTCGTTTTGTTTTTATTTAAACTAATGGCTTTGACTTTATTTTGAATATATAAATTAGGATTACAGAGAATTCAAGGGCTTGAACTTGGAGAGCGCCGCAGATGAGCAGCTATTGATTTACATACCTTTTAAGCAGCCTATCAATTTGCATTCACTGGTTATTGAAGGACCTGTGGAGGAAGGTACGCAATAGATTTTGTGTCTTTTTTACCCTCGGTAATCTCTTGTTGGGTGCATAAGACCTTTAGTTAACCTCTTGCATTTTCAGCATTTTGGAAGATTTACCTTTGTAGGTCTACTGGTTTAGATAAACAAATTCTTACTCTGGCATGTGTTCATAATTTATTTTATGGATATGTAGCTAAATGATGCATCAACTAGTTAATGGATACACCACTATGTCTTGTTAAGTAAAATCTTTATGATATTTATGCATAATCTGGAGTAAAGCAAGAAAAAATGGATTATTTGTAAAACTACCTAGTTCGCAGTGACCTTTTAAAATCTTTTTCATTTCTTGTTAGTGGGATAGCCAGAGAGTGCAGTTCAGGAAGAAATTTGTGACAGGCTTCTCTATAATGGGGGCTTACCAATCGCTCTGTTCTCTTTTATATATTGGTATAGGCATAACGTTAAAGATATGGATCAATCATGTATGTCGCGAGTCAATTACGTGCTGTTTCTTAATTCTGTCTAAGTAATAGTTCCTGATTGATATTTATGGTTGATGTCTTTCACTTTGCTGTCACACATGCCATACTTACTGTGAAAGTGGCTCTTTGGTGTTTCTTTTAAAGTTTCTTTAAGAAGTCTATATAAATTGATGACATGCCTTAACACATTTTTTTCCTACATTAAAGGTCCTAAAACTGTGAAGCTGTTTGCTAACAAGACGCACTTTGATGTCAGGTGAATTCTGTAGTTACATAATATTTGGTGTCCTTTCCTGGACTGAGCCATTTGTGGCACATTTTTTCACCTTTACCATGTGTAATCGCTAATTGAATTGGACCTATATGTAGTGATGCTATTGAAGCCACTCCGAGGGACACAGCAATTTTATCTGAAGCTAATCTCAGGGTAAGCCAATCCTGGTTCAGGAATTCTGCTTCTTCGGCTATGTGTTAACAAAAAATACTTAATGGGGTTGTGGTCGTAGAGTTGTTAAGATTTTCCCTGGAGGTTCGATGTTCATTCTTCAAGTATCTTATTGTTCTTTTGTAGGGAAAAGCAGTTAAGTTGAAACAAGTTATGTTTCAAACCATTCACAGGAATGCTTAAATAGCTTGTCTTCATATTTTGAAGTATTCATTTGTAAAATGACATTAATCTTTTGTATTGCTGTTGGACCAGTGTGACCATTTTTATCGAGGATAATCAGTCTGGTTCCAAACTTACAAGAGTTCAAAGAATTGTTTTGTATGGAACACCGTAAGTTTCCGATGAACTCTTTCCTTTTGCACAAACTTATCATTTTCCTTCCTTGCACTCTTATTTGCTTCTTTTTATTTATTATTAGCAAGTTCTTTATTTTAGTCAACTTTGACTTTTTCGGAAAAGCATGAGACCATTTGATTGTGTCAGCATACCCAATGTGCTTTGAAGCTGATGCTTCGTTTAGTTTCTCTTCTTAAGTAGCAAGATAGCGATGGTGCTTCCATTGGCTTTTGAAGCATTTGGGATCCGACACCTTGTAGGCGTGCTCTTTTCAAGTGAATACAACATGGTAGGCTACATATATATCCCCCACTCCATGTAAACTCAGTTCATTTTGTCATCATATCATACCAAGTAAAAATAAAAGGTTTCTTCCATTGTGCTCCTCTTACCAAAAGGTGGATAGAGCAACTATACCTTTTTCACTCTCAAGTGCAGGGACGTATTCATGAAATCGTTGCCTTTACAAATTTATATATTTTTGGAAGACTTACTTTATATTTTGTTTCAAAACACCTGCCAAAAGGAATTTACCTTGTAGAGGAAACAGGCAAAAAATCATTCTTACTTATCTTAGAAAATTTATGTGATGTGCTGCTAAAGCTCTCATTTACCCCACCATGGCGTTGGGGAAAAGACATTTGGATCATATACTTTCACTTCTCAAATAAATGTGATAGATACCCCATCTTGCTCTGATGACTGTTATATTTACATTTTGTCTTTGTCTATATTCTGGATGATTTTATCATTCGGGTATTGTGCAGGAACTTCTGAGCATGAACACCAAGAAAAGCGTAATGGAAAGCTGTAGATTTTTGTACATCTTGAGGAATTTTTTCAGTGTTGAAGAGAGGAGTGTACGGTGTAAGAGGTGTAAAAGATGACAACAAACAATTTTTTGTGATACGTAAATGTACTTTTGAGTTTTGTAAATTTCACCAACTAAGAGGATGCTTGTTATTGTTGACAAGTGCTTCGGACTTACGATATTGAAGTTTTGGTTAGCAAATTTTGAACCACATCTTATGATTTTATTCTTGTGTTTATGACATATTTAGTCATAGATACCCCTATACTATAAGAAACAATTTAAATATACTATTCGTTGACTAGCAATACAAAATCTAAACACTTGTTGCAGCAAATTATAAACAGTGACCATATAACAAAAGATTAGAAGAAAAGGAATTGTGAAGAAGGAACAAAAATTGCCCCAAAGTTTTTCTTGAATAGGCTGCTAAAGAAGACATAGTGGTAACATGGAATATTAAATATTCTTAAAAACTGGCTAAATATTAAATAATTTTAAAAAAATTGAAATGTTATAAATATGTGTTATTTATCCGGTTGAAATAGTGAAAGAAATGAACCCAAACAAAAAGTTAGAAATAGATTTGGCTTGTACTTTTAAAATTAACTGTTAATAGTATAATATGGTTACAGAAAACATATAATATAATATAATTTGATTGTTATGATTAAATATTGTTATAAAAATGATTATTATAAAGAGAGCCTATATATATAAATTAAGTTTTCTTGTATGTACATTAACTTACATGGACGGTATATGGAATCACTTCAACAATAATTGCGTGTAATTTTAATAATTATAATAAATAATAACTCAATAATTATTTTGAAATAAGGAATAAAACTTGGCTTGTTTTATACCTTTACCTATTGCCCTTTTAAGTGAATAATATTTGATTTTCGGCCGAACTATTTAATTCGATCTCCCTTCTTTTATAAAAAAAAAAAAGAGATTGGAAAACCCTATTTCAGCCGGGTTGCAATGTCAACTGTGCCGTCAATGTCGGCAGCAGGACAAAGTTGGGAAGATCCTACCCCGTCGGAGTGGCCAGAGAGTAAGTATAATTTCCTGTTAATTTTGTTTTCATTAGATGGCTGCTACCTATCCAGATATTGTACTGTATTGTTTTGATAAATACAATGTTTGAATAGACTATATTGCTTCCTGTAGTTACATAATGCCACACCTCACTAATTTGAAAGACAAACCTACTGGAAAAGCAGGGTGCTGGGTAGAACTATTAGAAAAAAGGTCGGGTGATCACACTACTTTTCATCATTAGGTAATGATGGATTTATCGCGATACAATATAATAAAATTTAAGTAACAAGCTAAACTGTATTTAAACTAACAACACAGTACAGTACAATAGGTAACAACCATCCAAACATGCTATTAGTATTATGGTGTTTTGTGTGTATTAGCTTATTTCTCTCCCATTATAGTCTTTGATAGTTTTATGCATCAATCGAACTAGATACTACCTTGATAGAGGGTTTGGGGATTGTAAATTTGGTCATACTGACCCAACAATCTTGCAGTTTGGAATATTGGGAGGAATTTAAAGACTTTAGTTATATTAGCCTAGTGTAAATTGTTTAACATTATTGTAAAAACTTTAATAGAAAGGTTGAAGTCAATCATAAGCTATTATTACAGACAATGGGAATAACTTTGTTAAAAGGAAACAGTCGTGATGCTGATAGCCAACTATTGTTTTGATTCTTGATGTTCGAATAGCAGGGTGTGAAGCAGGCCTAATACTTTGACATTGTGTGCCCAGTGCTTTGCGTCCTAAAGACAATCTAGGGAACAATAACAATGAATCCACTTTAGTCCTACAAGTGGGGTCTAGGAAGGGTAGCAGTGTACACAAACCTTACCCCTATCGTTGAGAAGATATACAAGTTATTTCTGAAAGACTCTTGATTGAGCAAACAATGATATCACGGGTCATGTCCTCAGTGAACTGAATTTGTGGCATATCGTGCCTAATCACCTATCCTATCAAAAATTGTGTTAGTTAAGTCATAGGACATTTTGTGTCCTGTCTTTTGAAAATGCACTTCTTTTTCTGCTTTTCCCCGAGGTGTTTTGGAAAAGAAAGTGCATGAGATGAACTCTGCGAAGTAATCTATCAGATTACTTGTCAGAATACCATGAATGCTTATTGGTCCACTTTCACCGTTATGGTCTAGCAAGTAATTGTATCTGCTATTGATATCATATATCTTACTCAATTATCTTTCACTGTTAGTTCTCCTTTCACTTCATTCCATGAATGTTGCTTGCACCTATTTTTTCATCATTTGTGCCTTTTGCTGTTAGAATTGGTGCAAATCCTAATATAGTGAATTAACTTACTATTCGAATGGTGTCACAGATGATTATCGTCTACTTTGTGGTAATCTTGGGAATGAGGTCAATGATGATGTCCTATCAAAAGTCTTTTCAAGGATTCCAACCTTTAACAAGGCTAAGGTATGTTCTGTTAGATTTTGTTTTATTTTCTAATACGCTTACATTTTTATGCTTTAATTTTGATTGATATACACACGGTTTGGTAATTTTGGTCATTAAGGGAGAGAGACTTCTCACTGTTTTCAAATTGGAGTTCAATAACTTTGAAAATTAAAGAGACATATTAGTAGTATTATTGTAGGACCAAAAATTATATCCATCAGGTTGTATGTTTGTGTGTCTTTTTGCATTCTTTTCCTCTTATGGTGGGTATAGTGCAGACATGCTTGTTGACTTAGTTCCATATGTGCTTGGGTATTTGCATAAATTGAACAATATAAGCCAATAAAAGAGGGGTGTGCATTGTGCTACACTTCTTTTTACTATAAAATCATTATTTACCTGCTAAAAATAAGGGTGAGATATCTAAAGCGATGAGCATCTAATTGGCGAGATTCTAGATTGGTGGCATCTAATTGAGAAGATTGTAATTGTGGTGATACCTTACTGCTTCCTTTTGACATATCTAATTGTAATTTGTTTAGCACCCAAAAGTGCAGCAGTATTATAGTAATGTGTTATAAAGAAGTGTAGCTTAGTTATATTTCAAGATTTATCATGTTGATGATATTACTAAGTTGATTCTTTCCACCTTCACCTAAAAAAAAGAAAAATTAAGAGGTATTCTATACTAGTCATGCAATGATATCTTGTTTTGACCAACAGATAAACATTTCTATTGATCTCATATATAACCTTGTACAAGGACATACTGCTACCATGAATGATAATGTTCGTCCCCTTCCATAATTGCCACAAAATGAAAGCAGGAAGTGCTTCATAGATAGGCTTTAATTTAGTTGAGCAGTTTGTTGTCCACCACTTTTGCACAATTTGATAAACTTGAAGGAAAAGGTGTATGTAGTCCTACACCAACTGCAAAACTTGTCCAGACTCTAGCTGTAAAGCTGCATGTAATAAATAGATTATTAGTAGTCTCCTGGTATGACCCTGTGCAACAACAACATTTGGAAACCATAGCAAATCTCATCCTTGCTAGTAGATCATCTATTGGAATCCTCTTCTTCCACGGTCTCCATGTGAAAAAGGATACTTACAATCAAATATCATTAAAGTGTTGTTGCTTTTCCCTCTGTCTCGGAATGTCCCAAGCACTTTTAACACTGAACGGCCAGAGCTGTTAGGCATGCATACACCAAGGTTTGTTAATTGAAGAACATCCGAAATTACCTAGAATAAGGGTAAATGAAGGACAAGTTGTAAAGTCGTATAACTAAATCTTTTGGATGGGACTGAACCAACAAACTATGGTGGTTTGTTAAAAACTACTCTGCTATTTTATAATAAATGTAGTTTCTTCCTTTCAAGCAGTAATTAGTTACTCTTCAGCATTCTAGATATATATATTTTTTAACTTGTTGAAGTGACAGCAACAATCTGTCTTACCTTTTCTGTTCAAGTAAGAATAATATATCTAATCCTTTTATTGTGCATAACTTGCATACTGTTTCACTTTATGTCTCTCAAGGGGAAAATTCTCAGCACCATCTACATTTTCTATCCCGAGACTGCTAGATAAAGGGACTAAAGAACACAACTTTGGTACCTCTTTTTTGGCTCAGAATACCGATCTTCAAGGGTTAATTGATGTGACAATCACCTAATCACTTCGAAGAATTGGTATAAATGCACATGTATGAGTCTAACAACATACATTCAAATTTGAAGATTCTAGTAGACATACTGATACATGCTCCAACAGCCTTTGGGCTGTCCAATGAGTAATGTTTTTCTGTTTGAGGGAAGATGTGCGAAGGTATAATTAGCAGAATCCCAACTTAAACTAATATTGTCATAAATAAAAATTTGAATAAGCCATAGTAAGTCCAAGAATATGCATGTTCTACTGAAAATATCTTGATAAACGTATGTACTATAAGACAAGTAAAGAAGGGTAGTGAGAGGTGACCTTTTGCCTTTTTCTGATGTGAAAATACTGTGAGGAAGACTTATGTTGACACACTTAAACTTTTGTCTTGATATGTAATTCAAAAAATAAACTAAAATATGAAACTATAAAAGAGAAAAAATAAAAGATGATTTAATGCAAAAAAAAATTAAATAGTGAAATCAACGAAACTTGATACCTGTGGACAATGAAGTTGACTGAATGAAGTACATGGGTGAAAACAGAGGCAAGCCAACACCAGGTAAGAAAAACATAAAACATGATTTGATGGGAAATTGTATTCATAAAATCAGTGAGAAACTGATAAACCAGCCTTGAATTACTATATAATCTCCGCCAATTGTCAACGCGCATGCTCTGTCATCTGCTGGAACATTCACGAGTTTTGAGACATGCTTTGTGATCCTACAAAAGTTAGATTTGTTGACATTTGAAAATGGCGTCCATCTCGTTTGAGATATTCGTTGCTAAAGATGGGAAGAGGCGATTACAGCCCAATATTGCGAAAGAAGGAAATGAGGCGTTGTTTTGGTACTATTTCTTCGTGATGGTTGAACTATGGGAACCTTTTTATTTTTATTTAAAAGTTGATTAAACAATAAATATATATAAATGCTGGCTTTTGAGACATGTCACATCCTTGTCTAAGGATCCTCTTTTATATATTCGCCTTGCTTTCTTCGAACTTAATGGTATGCTGTAGCTTACAAGGTTCAATAACAAAGAGTTTCTATTATGCATGTTGACAGGTTGTGAGAAACAAGCAGACTGGTAAGACCAGGGGATACGGATTCGTGAGTTTTTCCAACTCATTAGACCGTGCTGCGGCACTTACAGAAATGAATGGTGAGTCTCTTATTGTGCTTAAACAATTATGTGATCAGCTTAGAGTTTGGATCTAACAGTTCCCTTGACATGCCATTTGGCTGACCGTTGATGCCATGTGCGGGTTTCTACTTTCTTGGGTCCCATCTTCTTCGATGTCTTTCATGTCAAATGATTCAGGTTGATATAAAGAGTTCCTCTATTATTTCACAAGTTTGGTTTCGTGTAGAGTTCACCAAGTGCAGATTACATGAATGTGTGAAGTGACAGTAGTTTTAGTTATTGAATTGGTGTAATATTGTTCCAAGATGTCTAAATGAGGTTGCAATTCGTGTTGTTTCCAGGGAAGTACGTTGGAAATCGACCGATTATACTTCGCAAAAGCAAGTCCAGGACTGACTATGAAGCTCTAGAAAGACGCAGGGCAAGGACTTTCACACAGTGATTGTCCTATCTAGTATATGATTTGTTGAAGTCATAGATTGACTTGTTAGACACTGTCAAATAGCTTGATCTCATTGGACTTTGTAAGAAGACGTCTAACGTTGCTTTAATGTTCACATCAAATTAATAGATGAAGATCGAAGACGTATGTCTTATGAAGCTTAAGATTTGATGGACAAAGTTAGTCACAATTTCACTATACTCATGTCAATGAAAGGTAACAACGGTTAAATGTGAAGTATTTTTCTTTGAATTTTTAACTTCAAATATTGATTATTTATTTTTTTGTTGAAAGACTCTATCATGCCAAATAAATTTGTTGTCGAATTGATTATTTCGATTTTCGAAGATGAAGAAACAACATCAAATTAATGTCTAGAAGAAGATACAAACTCTTTTTTTTAAAAGTAGATATCCCTTTTAACAATATTATTGTACATAACAGAAAAAATATTTTAATCAAAATTCGGACTTCATGTTTGTATTAAAATTGCATTTAAATTCACTTTGTAATTCAGACATCAGGTGTGATTTATGTCTCTGTATATTTAGATAATAACTTTAGATATTTTAGCTTTTCTTTAAATATGGGTCCTAGGTTCGGGTAATTGTGCATATGCCCCGTCTAATTTTTCATTGTTTTAGTTTTTTGAGATTTTTTTTAAATAATTACCTATTGTCTCACTAATTAATAATTTTGTAAACGATTTTATGTTAATACATCATTCCTTGATATTCCAAGTTAGATACATGCATCAAAGATGCTAAATACATGATCTTTGATACCAAATATATTCTGCGAGTAAGAGTCGATATGTATCTTTGGTACTAGATGCATGTATCTTTTTAATACTAATATATAAGAAGAGAGACAAGCGCTATAGGAGAGAGAAGAATGAGATAGTGAATATATCTTAGATACATGTGAATCAAAGCTTGAATATAGTGTATTTTGGTATAAATTATACATAATTTGACTCGAGGCGAACGAGATAGTGAATGTATCCTAGATGCATACGAATCAAAGCTTGGATATAATATATTTTGGTATAAATTACATCTAATTTGACTCGCATGTATCCGTGATACACGTATGATGTATCTGAGTGCGACAAATACATCAATCTTGCAACATAAATGTTAATTTCGAAAGCTAAAATTAAAACAAATAATTAAGTTATAAACTAGTGAAATTTGTAATATAGAGGGTAATTTTGAAAATTAAAGTAAAGACACGTAATTAGGTCCTAAACTAGTTTTGGGCTTTAGCTCATAACCGACTTTCACCCAATTAGTTTACTTTTCATTGTTTTGGGCTTTAGCCCATTTATCCAGAATATATATTCAGACATATTTGGTTCATTTTCTTTCACCCGTATTTGATCTCTCTCCCTTTTTCAAAATTTTCAATCACAATAATCCCCAAATCCCTAATTTAGCGATCGGAAAATCCCAATTCACCGGCGTAGCGATGTCATCGGTGCCTTCAACGTCGGCGGCAGCTACTTCATCGTCGTCGCAATTCACCTACTCGAACGGCACCTACTTTCCGACGCCTTTTCATCTCCAACAACAACCTCCTCAGCCCTACATAGGTGCTGCTCCTCCGCCCGTTCAACTTCCTGCTCCTTCCCACTATCCTGCTCCTGCTGCTATTCCTGGCGTTTACACTTTGCCTCAGTTTCAACAAGTAAGTATTTCAAATATCAGCAAATATTGATGGCCTAAAAGGACAATAAACGGAAGTTATAAACACTTGTATCTGAATTTCGCTCTCTGTATATTTGTGAAAATTTGAAATTGGTTGCCAATCCTTGAGTTTTGATTGCGTTAGAGTCAGGCTAATATCCATAGAAAGTTTACTTATATGTTAAGTTTGCATTTTTCCCATCTAAACAAGTTGCTTATAGCAGTGTTTTGTAAATTTCCTGTGAAATTGTTGCGATAATTTCTTTTTAAAAATAAAATAAGGGTGTTGTCCAGACCAGCTTGCTTGTTGAGATCATATTTGCTTCTGTATGTGTGAATATGTGCTTGATAAGATATCATGACAGCCAATTATAAGCTTATTAGTTTCCTTTAGGAGGAGAACAGACAATTTCTGTAGAAGTATCTGCAGATGGCCTTTGTACATATTTAGCTTTGTCAAGGTAAACTAGTGAGCTTGTTTTGGAGAAAAGAAGGTAGCTTTTGTCATGTTTGTAATATATGTAATTCTTGTGGACAGGCTCAGCAGTTATTCCAAAGAGACGCACAAACAATCACACCTGAAGCACTTGAAAATGTGAAAGCTGCACTTGCGAGCAGCGAAATTGAGCACAAAGCTGAGGCCAAGAAGAAATCTGTACCTCGTAAGGCAGCTGGACATAGTTGGGACGATCCTACTCTGGCAGAGTGGCCCGAGAGTAAGCCTAATTTCCTATTTCTTTTTCTTTCCTTGTCTGTCTGTGCCTCATGCTTTTCAAGTCTATTTATTATTCTGTTTTTTTTGGGATTACTCTAGTTCTCTCTCCTTATAGTCTTCGAAGTTTTGGGCATCAATTGAAATGGATACTCGTGTACTACCTTGTGCTGAAGGGTTTGGCATTATAAATTTGGTTCAAAGTGACCCGACAGTCCTACAATGTGGAATTTTAGGAAGAATTCAAAGACTTCAGATATAAGCCTAGGGTGAAGTGCTTAAGATTATTGCAGAACTCGCTTGTCAGGATGATGTATGCTTGAAAATACACTAAATGAATTTGTGTTGGTTAAGTTGTGGGGAGTTTTTGTCTTCTCTTTTTAATTTCTTATCTTTTTCTGCCTTTTCTGGAGTTTTTTTGTAAAAAAAAAACTCTGCGAAGTAATCTATCAGATCTTACTTGTTTTAGTATTATGCTCTTTTTTTTGTTTTGTTTCTGATAAGATGTTTTAGTATTATGCTTTGTTGGTCCACTTTCATGGATTATGGCCTGCTGCTGATCGTTTTTCTTACCCAATTATCTATTTATCTTCACTAATGATTCTCTTAGGCACTTCATCCTGTGATGGCTGTTTGCACTTATTTGTTCCTTTGTTGTTAGAATTGGTGCAAATCCTAGTAGAGCGGAATAACTAAGTTACTGTTCTGATGGTGTCACAGATGATTATCGTCTATTCTGTGGTGATCTTGGGAATGAGGTGAATGATGATGTCCTATCAAAAGCCTTTTCAAGGTTTCCAACGTTTAATATGGCTAAGGTATGTGCTGTTTATATTTTCCAATAATTTTACATATTTATGTTTTTGATTGTTATACATGAGTACTGGTATTTATGGTCATGAAGGGAGAGAGAAATCTTTCTATATGCTTAGACAGTTATTGATAGTGTGTGGGTACATCGAATGTGGTGTGCATGCATCTAGTGTGAGAGACTTCTCCTCACTTTTAACTGCTTTTAATTTGGACTTCAATGACTTTTTAGTAGTATCATTGTAGGGTAAAAAATTGTATTCCTCAAGTTGTCACCGGTCCGATAATCTCCTTCTCTTCTCCGGCATAGAATCTCACCGGCGTCTCATTCCAGATTTGGGTAATATGCCCTATTCCTTCGAATTCAATTCTCACTTTCTTCGGAATGCTATTTCCCCCACCCTTCACTAAAATTCTCGCCCATTTTAGGTGATCTCAGAGTTCTGTCTCCTCCTCCGTCCTTATCCATCCTCCACAAAATTCCCCTACTGACATAACAACCTTGTCTGATCACATGTGAAGAGGTAAACATACCTGTCTGATCCAGGTCTGTTTGATGGCTGCTCTAGATTGGATAGCACCGACAGTCGGTGTCCACCATTGGAGTTGCAAGCTCTGTTTCTTCCACGACCAATTACCTCTGAGTGCATGTTCTGCAGCTTTCATGGAGGCAAACTCAAAAAGGAATCAGGTTTTCCCCATTTCATAGATGTTCAGACCATGGAATTGGTTCCAGTTCGAATTAGCCCATCTACGAATTTCCGAGAGGGTCGGGATTTCAGCCCCATTAACCTGACCATTAAGGCTCCTGCTCAAAGCCTAATAGTGAGATAATTTGGTGTCATCATCAATACAAATTATATCTCCATCTTGTTTGGTGGTTGCAGCATCTAACCCTCTGGAGATCCATTTATTTCTCCCGACTGTTTCAGCATACGGAATCTCCTTATCAATCAAAGTGGGGGGTTTTGTTGGTTATCCTTGTGGCTCTATAAAAAATGAACCTCTCTATTTGTTAGCCAAATCCCACCAACCTACATTGAATGCTGTTTCTGGAATAATTAATACTGCTCTGTTTTTTCCCTATACGCTGATTATACTTTTATAGCTCCCCCTATTGTTGAAATTTCTTGCACGGAGAAGCTGGGTAGATAGTTCCTGTCGTTTCCATCTGCAAACAGTATTGCCTTTGACCTTTGAAGCTTCTTTGAGGGTCCTGCACAGCCATTCCATTGTGTTCTGACTAAAACTTGACCTGCTCATCCTATCTCTTCCACGTTCAGCCCAGTCATACCAGCTTTCTCCGCGAGAGATGCTTCTCGAGATGTCAAAGGGTTTGAATTCCAACGCAAAATAGATTATGTTGTTTTCCACGATATGAGTCAAGGAGAGAGAAAGAAGGGGTTGATGGTTAACCATGAAAATAAAAAGAAGGGGTTGATGGTTAACACATAAGGTGTTAACTGAGGTACGGGAAGGAAAATTTTCCGGTGCCAAGGCCACCGGAAAAGGTGGTTCTTCCCTCTTAGGAACTAGGAGATGGAACTATCTCAGTATTCGTTTCTGATAGCATTTTTTACACAATTTCTTCTTCTCTGTTTCTTAACACACACATCAATTTTTTTCAAGAGCCTTTTCAAGATAAAGATAATGTGATCTACACTTGCATCTTCCTATTTAGCTGTGGATTACGTTTTCCTATCCATCATGGTTTCTATTCTTATGGCTGTTACATTCTATGAGAAGTATTTTATTTTATATTCTGTCTCGCTCTCGTGAATCTTTATTGTATAATTGTATGCTGTAGCTTACAAGGTTCAGTAATAAAGGGTGTCTACAATGCATGTTGACAGGTTGTGAGAGACAAGCGGACTGGTAAGACCAGGGGATATGGATTTGTCAGTTTTTCCAACCCATTGGATCTTGCTGCGGCACTTAAAGAAATGAATGGTAAGTTATGTGTTAATCATTATATAAATGTGTAGTCTCTTAGTCTCTTTAAGATATGGCAGCATAATCATTATTTTAATATATAATCAATATTTTTTTTATAGTTTCTTGGTTCCCCTTTTCTTTGATATCTTTATGTCAACTGATTTAGATTAGTAGAGTACCCTCAATTGAGCTAATGGTTTTTGTATTTGAACGTGTAATCCCTCTCCCTCGCCCCCTCTCCTCTCTCCATGAAAGAAGGAATAGTGGAGGAAATAAGCAATACTGAGGACACCATTTAGGACTGCTTTTGAAATTAGTTTAGGTAAAGAAAAAATTAGTGAGGAAAAGAACAACATCAACCAAACTTGTATGAGAGAATTTCAGAAGTCTGTTTTTTGTTGAGTTTGTAAAGTGGGGAAGTTCATGAATGTCTGAAGTGGCAACTGTATTAGTTATTGAATTGGTATAATATTATACCTAGATGCCTACTAATGATGTGGTAATTCATGCTATTTTCAGGAAAGTATGTTGGTAACCGACCTATTAAACTTCGCAAGAGTAAGTGGCAAGAGAGGATCGACTATGAGGCTGTGGAAAGTCACAAGGTGAGGTTTTTTGCGTGGTGATTGTCCTACTTATATTATATTACATCTTGATAGTGGCATTAACTGACTACTTTGTTTTGGTGTGTTGGATCTTGTGGCAGAACCGATCACATAAGAAACCAAAGCAAGCAAAGAAGGGTATATTTCACAAGTGAGCGAGCACCAACCATGATAGGACTCAAGCAGCAAGATACTTGAGATGTACTTTTAATGTGTATTACTCAATTTCTTCACCATTGTCCCTGCCTGGGAAAGAAGGATCAAAGTTTAGTTCCAGGATGCAGAGAGGCGATTTCGACATCTGCAATTTGTTATTCACAATGGTATAATATCCATCAGTTGCTGGTTAATGTATTTCTTCCTCAAGAACCCTAGGAAGAGAGCTCTGGATGATCCTTTTAACAAACCATATATTGATGGATTAGAGGAAACTAGTTGTGGTTTGGAAACTTTGGTTTCATACTTCCGTTAATGGTGTACTTGTTGGATGTTAAACCTAATGTAGGTGTACCAAAGATGATTCAAGTTTTATATTTAGATTGTGGTTCCATTGCATCCGTTTTGTTTTTCATTAATAGGGGTTGTTTGGTTTGCGGATTAAATTATCTCTGGGATTATAGTATGAGAAAGTAAATTACCATAAACCTTGCTGCTAAACTATGTAAACACCATATAGGATCTTTTGATTACAATTTAAGAAACTCAAAATATCTTATTTCAGACAGTGAATTCCTTAACTTCAACTAGCACGAATAAACTCAGTTGCCTAACTTTTTGGTAGATTTATATTGGGAAATTTAACTGAGTCCACTCTAGTTTGTAATATTACTCATTTTACTAGATTTTGGTGTCTCCAGATACATGTATCTTGAAAATATGGAATCAAATTTAGGTGTAATTTGTCGTAGATATATAGTATCAAGTGGAATCGAATGTATTTGGAATGCATAACAAATCTTCCTCGCCTTCCATCTCTCTTGCCACTCTCCCATATATCTGGTATTTCAGATACATGCGAATCACTTTAGATACATGCATTGTGATTTGCATGTACATGGGGTACATATGAATCTCACTCGTCTCTCTCTATATCTGATAAGAAAAATACATGTATCCAAGTGTAAGATACGTAAAAAACCTCTTAATTAATGGTAAGATACGTAATATATATTTTTTTAAAATATAGGTAATACTTATGTAGTTTTATGTAGTTTTGGTATATTTTAATGTGTGGATCATAAAAAGGGTTGTGTTCTTTAGGGGTTGATTTAATATTTTTCCTGTGGAAGTATGGACGTAAGTGAAGTGAAGGAGAAATCCGGTGGATTGTATGGTTATTTACAATCCTCAATTCCTCACTGTGTTTTATGATTTGCTACAACAAAGTATGTCCTGTTCAGATTTTGTACAAAGAAGAGTATATTTAAACTGTTTCTTATAGTATAGGGGTTATTTGACCCTTTTCTATATAATATATAACTAAGCAACAAAAATTGGGTATCGACAACTAGATATGCTATAAACACGAGAATAAAATCGATGCCGTTTAAAATTCAATAGCCAAACTTCAAAATCGTATGTACGACGCACTTGCCAACGATAGCAAGCATTCTCTTAGTTGGTGAACTCAAAAGTACAATTACGTATCACAAAAAATTGTTTGTTGTCATCTTTGACGCCCCTACACAACAAACACTCATCTCTTCAACCTTTCAACACTGAAAAAATTCCTCAAGATGTACAAAAAAACTACAACTCTCCATTACGCTACTCTTGGTGTTCACGTGCCTCATAAGCTCCTGCACAATACATGAATGATAAAGAGCCCGTTTGGATTGACGGAAAAAAAAGAAGTAGGGAGAGTACTACTTTTGATTTTTAATTTTTTTTTAAAGTTATTTTAACTTTGCCACACTCCCAAAAGCTAAAAATGATTCAAACGTAGGTTTGACCAACTTTCAAACCAATCCAAACAGGCTCAAAATCATCTAGAATATAGACAAAGACAAAATGTCAATACAACAATCATCAGTGCAAGATGGGGGATATCACATGTTATTTAGGGAAGCACCATTACTATCTTGCTACTTAAGAAGGGAAACAAAATGAAGCCTCAGCTTCAAAGCACATTCAGTATGCTGACACACTCAAATGGTTTCATGCTTTTCCAAAAAAATAATAAAAAAGAAGCAAATAAGAGTGCAAGGAAGCAAAATGATAAGTAAGAGGTCATCGGAAACTTACGATGTTCCAAACAAATAAATTCTTTGAACTCTTGTACGTTCGGAACCATACTGATTGTCCTCGATAAAAATAGTCACACTGGTCCAACAGCAATACAAAAGATTAATGCCATTTTACAAATGAGTACTTCAAAATATGGAGACAAGCTATTTAAGCATACCTGTGAATGCTTTGAAACTTAACTTGATTCAACTTAACTGTTATTCCCTACAAAAAAAAACACAAGATACTTGAAGAATGAACATCGAACCTCCAGGGAAAATCTTAACAACTCTACAAGCACAACCCCATTAAGTATTTTTTGTTAACACATAACCGAAGAAGCAGAATTCCTGAACCAGGATTGGCGTACCCTGAGATTATCTTCAGATAAAATTGCTGTGTCTCTCGGAGTGGTTTTAGCAGCATCACTGCAGATAGGTCCAATTCAATTAGCGAATACACATGTTAAAGGTGAAAAATGTGCCCACAAATGGCTCAGTCCAGGAAAGGACACCAAATATTATGAAACTACAGAATTCACCTGAGATCAAAGTGCCTTTTGTTAGTAAACAGCTTCACAGTTTTAGGACCTTTAATGTAGGAAAAAATGTGTTAAGGCATGGCATCAGTTTATATAGACTTCTTAAAGAGACTTTAACAGAAACACCAAAGAGCCACTTGCTCAGTAAGTATGGCATGTGTGACAGCAAAGTGAAAGACATCAATCATAAATATCAATCAGGAACTATTACTTAGACAGAATTAAGAAACAGCACGTAATCACGTCATTGACTCACGACATCAAAATGTCAACAGATAATCTACCACTCAACTGTATACATGATTGATTCATATCTTTAACTTTATGCCTATACCAATCTTAGTTGCGCGGACTCTTCACTTTTGATGCCGCACCCGTCTCGGATTCTCCAAAAATACACTACTATTGGCGAATCCGACACGCACCAGTTGGCACTCTTGAAGAGTCCGAGCAACATAGATACCAATACATAAAAGAGAGCAGAACAATTGGTGAACCCCATTATAGAGAAGTTTGTCACAAATTTCTTCCTGAACTGCACTCTCTGGCTATCCCACTAACAAGAAATGAAAAAGATTTTAAAAGGTCACTGTGAACTAGGCAGTTTTACAAAAAATCCATTTTTTCTTGTTTTCCATCAGATTTATGCATAAATATCATCAAGATTTTACTTAACAAGACATAGTGGTGTATCCATCAACTAGTTGATGCATCATTTAGCTACATATCCATAAAATAAATTATGAACACATGCCAGAGTAAGAATTTGTTTATCTAAACCAGTAGACCTACAAAGGTAAATCTTCCAAAAAGCTGAAAATGCAAAGAGGTTAAACTAAAGGTCTTACGCACCTAATAAGAGATTACCGAGGGTAAAAAAGACACGAAACCCATTGCCTACCTTCCTCCACGGGTCCTCCAATAACCAATGAATGCAAATTGATAGGCTGCATAAATGGTACGTAAATCAATAGCTGTTCATCTGCAACGCTCTCCAAGTTCAAGCCATTGAACACTCTGTAATCCTAATTTAAATATTCAAAATAAAGTCAACGCCATTAGTTTAAATAAAAACAAAACAAGGAAACCTACATTGGATGAAGGAGGTTTCATTGATAGCATCAAGTAGAAGCAGAAGCTACTACAAAAGATTATGTCAACTCCAATTTATAAGAGACTAAGCGAGTTTCCATTAAAAAAGAGCTTAAGCTAATATTGTGGAGCAAACAAAATCCAAAATAATGATCAGTGATATTTAAGCATGACAAATTGATCAAGCTAAATAGATCTTATTTATACAAAAAAACATAGCAGATACAAATTGATCTACATCTAATATACTGTTTCTCTGATAATAATTTTATCCTATCCTATTCACTGCTCAATGTAAAATTCCTCAACTTGAAAAATATATGGAAGGCAGAAACATAATCAATCCCAAATTTAAGAAATGAACAAAATCTTCTCCAAGAGAATCTTCTCCTTTTCTACTTAGTTCATTAATTGTACCTTTTCTAGGGCATTGCTAATACAGTGGATGCGGCTTCCATTAAGGCATTGAACACTCCCCAGGTCCACAAAGTTCAACAAATCAACCTGGTCATCACCCAGAAGTCACAAAACATTTATATATGTTAAAACTTACATATGATAAAATGGCCTAGAAAACGAAAATATGAAGATCTCTAAAATAGTTAATACATCTTACTTTAAATTCGGGAATTTTTACAATCAATGCATCCCCCTCAACTTCATGTTCAATACCGGTGTTTGCACATTCATCAGTATCCTCATATTTATCTCGATCAATAACACCATGAAGTTCTTGAGGTTGAACCTGAAAACCAAAAGGAAACTGTAATTTTAGAAAAAGAATAAAACAAAGACAATATAAGTGGCGTACGTACCATAGAGGTAGTACCATCAGCCCATGTAACCTTAATGTCGCCATCTTTGAAGCCAATTATACTCCCAAAGGAGGACAAATCAGAATTTTCAGCTTCTCTTGTTATTCGGCGGAACACCAAGTTACCCAGGTGATAGTTAAAAAGATGGTGACGATTCAGGTGGCAAGAACTAATGATCTCCTCATTTGGGAGATTTACCCATCTAACTGTTGTGGTTTTCTCCTTGTGATCAACAGATTTAACGACTCCCAAACCTTCAGAATTATCCAAAACCACATATTGACCGATTAAGAAATCGTGCACTCCAATATCAGAAATGGGTTTCAGTATTGATGGTGGTAGGTTTTTTTCAGTTGACCCATTTTGCCAAGTCACATCAACAGAAGTTTTGACATCACCAAGTAAAAAAACAGTTTCAGGTTTTAACAGCATATGCCGGCATACATTTCCATATTTCCAAGTGGAGCGAAATGAAAACACTAGTGTCAACCTGTTAGGATCTTGTTTAGCAAGGGGAGGGGAGTCATCATTGCCATCAGAATTAACGATCCATTCAACAAATACTGATCCATCAACCAGTTTTGTTACTGTACATGTCCGTTTCGGGGAAACATTCACCTCTTGTCCAAGTTGTAGTGGAAGACCATCCCGTTCAACATGTGGATGAAGACCCATCCCTCCTTTAAAAGTGCGTAAAGATTCATTCTTGAACTTTACAGTAACATCACGGGTAACAAAATCTACCTTACCCAACCAATTGTCAAGGACTACCAAATCTCCCTCCAAGAATTTTGTTACACGCTTCAGTTGGTTAGATGGAATGTTTTGCGCAGAGTTGGGCGTTTTAGAATCATACAGACGAAACAATTGATTAATTTGAACTACTTGTCCAAGTGTCTTATCTAGATTAGAAATGTGAGCAACAAAGTCCCCCTGTCATTCACCAATTCTTCACCGGCATTGTCCGATACAGAGTCATTGTCAAATGGAAGTCCCGAAGAGGAGTCTAACTTGGCATTATCTTCACCTTCCATCTAAAAATCTAACAATGTGACATACAGTAAATCACAAGAACATTAAGTAACTACATTACATATAAAACTTAACCGATTCACAATAACCTCAACAAAACAGGCACAAAAATCGTATTCATAATAACATGCATGTCAACCAATCACTATTCATCACAATAATAACAAGCCAGTGGCAAGTCTCGAAGAGACAAGCGCAACAGAGTACAAAAACCCTACCCTAAATTTTTTTCAATCACCATCAAATTCCAACTGCGAAAGAAGCACCGAGTGGAATCATATAAAATTAACAACAAAACTCAATAATACAACACGGTAAGGCTGAAGATACAAACTCATGAACAGAGTACAAAAACCCTAACGTAAATTTTTTCACAATAACATGCACGCTTTTCTTCTCAAACAGCATTTCATAGAAATTAATTAAAAGCGAGAGCCAGCTTAACATGGTCAAAACGTCACAAATGGGGAGGCCGTCGGGCGTCGGGTCCAACGCAAACACAGCGATAGGAAAATGAGAGCTAAGAAGAAAGAGAAATAAGGACAGAGAAAACTTACAGAGGTGAACGGAGATGGCAGTCGCCGGCGAGCAGTGAACGGAGAGAAGGATCGGTGTCGTGATGAGGAAGTAACAAAATAGTGGAGTAAATGATTTAATTTTTTTTGACTTAAGTCTGTTTAAGTATAGCTAAGAAGTCAGTTAGTTAATTAGCTAAGATCCTAATCAGTTAATTAAGGCTAACTAACTTTATAGTTAGTTATAGAAGTTTCTATCATGTATGTATAAACTAGACACATGTGCCCGTGCTAACACAAGTTTGATATCTGTTATTTTTTTATTTTAATTTATGTGATATAGATAGAATTTGGAGAGTCAATTGCATTTTAATATAATTTTTAGATATTTTAAGTTGTTAATTTTTGTGATTAATAATATTTTTTACGAAACAAATAATGCAGGTTACTTCCTCTTTTTCATTTTATGTGGCGATGGTAGATTTTGAAGAGTCAACTATATTTTATGTCTTCAAGATATTTTTAGTTTTAATATTTATCGCAATTTATGTGGCGTTGGTACTGATAATTATGTTTTATGGAGTACATCATTAAGACTAGCGTCGTTGGATAAAAATAAAATTGGTCTAGTTGACTTAAGTCTTACTACCCCCTTTGATTTAGCAAAAACAATTTTTACCATATAATAAATATTTGAACAAGTACATATCATAGCGTATATCAAATTTTCGATAATACTATAATATGAATTTGAGACATGACTTTTTTTTTTGCCTTTCAGTGTTTGTACATATTAGGGCTAAACCATCGGTGGCCCCCTAAACTTGGCACAAAGTTTCACTTAGGCACCTCAAGTGGGCGATGTTCATTTTAGACACCTCATGTAGGGTCTCGCTGTGTCATTTTGACACTTTTTGTCTGACTAAGCACAGTACGTGTGCTACACGAATTTTGAGCGCGTCAGAGGCTTTTTTTGTAAATATTCTAAAAAAAATTGTAAATATTTTCTTCTCCTTCTTCTTCCTTGCTTTCTCCCTTCCATCTTCCCCACCTTCTACCATCCTCCATCACCACACAACTTTTTTAAACTCTTTGATTCTTCCATCTTCTTTGAAAATCGAATTTGCATCTTGATTCATATTCAAAAACAAAATCAATTTCAAGGGAACAAAAAAAGAAATAAACTTCTTTCAAATGGAAAAACTGATTTACATTCTTACCTTCTCCATTGAAAATTAAATTGATTTCAAGGAATAAAAAAGAAATAAAGAACAATCTCCAATGAAAAAAAAGAAATATATTTTACATATCCTTCATTGTAAATCCCAATCGTAGTAGCACAAGAAATCATCTTCTTTTAAATGTCATATAAAAACTTTTTGATTTGGTATGATTTCCCTTATTCTCCAAAACGTATTTTACTTTGTAAACTAACCTATGTTCTTGCCTTTTTGATGGAGAAGAACAGATGAAGGGGAAGGAGACGCAAGAAGAAGAAGAAAAGAGGTGGGGGAATGGGGTTTGAGATCTGGAAGAAAGAAAAAAAGAAAGTAAAACTGAGATTTTTAAAAATAAAA